TCAGAAGGAAACTGCGCACGATTCTATTAAATAGCCATCAGCCCAATACTGACGTCCTACGCTTACCTTTTGAGAGCTCCTGTTGCGCGACGAATGCTACCACTACGGCTGCAACACCCACAAGCTTTGCCTATGGTATTCTAATTCGCGACTATTTGCTTGCACTTTTAGTGTCTCAAATAAATCTTGCCTTGTGTTGAACCAGTAATTTTTATGTTGAGGTAAGTTTTAATTAGTACTTCTCAAAGCTTGCTGTTAGTTGCTGGTGTGAGAATCCCGATTTGCCGCCACTTCGTTTTCTTTTTTGCACTGTACGTTTTCGTGGAAAGTTTTCCTCGCATAATTCTTGCACCCCGCAACTTTGCAGCGGTTTTCTGCCAAAAAAAGTGCGAGGATTATGCGAGTAAAAAGTGCGAGGATTATGCGAATAAATACGGTATGCCATATAAAACCTTAAGTTTACTATTCATGAAATCCTAGTCGTTTGGTTCAGTATCACAGAGTGAGCTCCACAATATTTGCAAACAAGTGGCCGTGCACTTTTCTAATTGATCAAAATCACTTGCAAGACAAACTTTGTTGCCAGCATCCAATGCCTCCCTGTGTTTGTTACCTGCAGCAATAGCAAAAACGCCAGACAGGGTGCCGATGCATCCCTATGGCACTTTGAACTAGTGTTTTCTCGGGCAAACTTTCTTCACTTAAATGATCCTCCATGAAGATTTGGGAATCCTGGGCAATTCTACGTGCCCCTTCTTCATTTCTCCCTCAATTACTGGCATATACTGGAGCGTCGGCACTATTTCTTATCTCATTCAGTGCACTGCTTGCTATAGTCATGTCCGAGATTACGTGAATACATTCAAGCCTACATGTAACGGCCCCACTTAAAACAAACTCTCGCTTAAAACGAACAATATCCGCGATTGCTTTAGCTATCAGGAACAGAAAAGAGTCATACATCTATAGCGACTCTAACGCAGCAATTACGAGCTTTGACAAGGGCTATGTCGCTGGGATTGTGGTTAAACTTATGAACAAAGCCAATCCTATCGATACTGAAATTCGATGGTTTCCTGCGCATAAGGGACAAGTGGACAAAACTTGGGTCAACCTCAACGAGGTGACGAATGACCTGGCACGAGGACTCGCTTGCCATGCCGGTCAGACCTGATTGGACACCCACTACCATTCCGGGGGCTATAAAGATAATTTAATCACTTACAACGACATCACAAAATATTATTACTTGAGGCGTAGGCAATTCCCACGGCCACACGCAAAATTGAACAGGGCTCAGGCAATCACGCTACGTCTACTGCAAACAAGAACTTACCCCACTCCGTATTTTCTACATAAAATTCTCCCTGACAGTGAAATTCAAGACAAGTGTGACGAGTGTGATGGCATCATTGGGATCAGACACATGCCGGCGGGCTGTCCCGCGACTCTCGCCGACCCCAAAGAACAATGGCTTTACTGGCAGACGATGGTGCGAAGCGCGTCTTATCAAGACCAACTACAGGCAGTCCAGAAGGCCCACGATGACACCGCAAGGCTCGGCCTGACGGCACTGACGTGGATGCAGCCCGCCTCGGTCTGAAAAGACCGGGCTTCAGGACACAAATAAAGTTTTGTGAATGAATGAATGAATGAATGATACAAAATCGCACTTACGTCTCGATCGGTTACAGTGAACGGAGTCGGCATCAGCTAGGTGTCCATAGATTCTTATTGTTAAACGCCGACCTGCATCCGCGCCCCTCTAGTTGTCACATCTCTGTTGCGCACCCTTCCGTCCTTTGTCCCCCACTGCTCCGAGCACCCCGCATCGCCAGACGCGGCCCGCGTTTTCACACTAACACCCATTCTCTCCTGTTTTTGATCGCTGGTACTGTCGTTGACGTCTCCAGCCTTGAGTGACCGGACCATTGCCAAATCGTCTGCATTCGATCGTCTGCGTCTTGTCTTATCGTATCGTTCTAGTGCACGCACGTACACTACCCCACCCACTCTGATAATTCGCGATTCTTTTTGTGTTTAGGACCTGTTCTCGCTCACTTCCCACTCTGCTTAGCATGCCCGCCGCATGCGTGCGGAAGCAAAAAACTAGGCTCGTGTGAATATTCAAATGCTTTGAATATTTGAACGAATAGTAGAGTATTTGAATTCGCTTCGATTTGAATTTAAATTATCAAATATTTAGAAGTATTTGACATGAACGAATAGGTGTGTACTAAGCCACATGTATACGCTTTTAAAGATGGCTTCACTGCAGTATAGCAGTGCTAAGCTGTGAAAGCACCTACTCAAAAGAAATTTGCTCTATCGCAAAGCCCCACCCTTAAATTTAAAGGGGCCTATGCAACACTTTTTGAGCATGGTCAGCAAATGCTGCCGATCGCTAGTCGTGGCTACCAATAACACGCGAGCTAAATATTATAGTGCAACACGTAACCTGAAATTCACAATAAATTCGCAACGTCAGATAAAGATTGCTCTATTCTCTCGGTAAATGACGTCACAATGTCAAAAATCGCTCATCACAGTGATTGTAGCAGCGATTAGCTGATTTAAGCATGGGGTGCTCGGTCGTGACTGGAGCCGCTGCGTGTGCCCACGACATGTCTACGCCTACACGCATGATCACACTGAAAATTCGCATATTCGAAAAAAAAAAAAGAGAGAGAGAAAGAGTGCTCAGGGTTACAACACGCAGTGACGTATTTTCTTTCCCTATGCCATTTCTCCCGACTTTGCTTCAAGCACTTTTGTCAAGACGTGAAGAAAGAATTCAATTGCAGCATGCGGCAAATCTCTGCAACTCCGCTCATACTGGACAGATTAGAAAAATTTCAGCGGCGGTTAATTCATAAGGCGATAATCTTCTTTAGAACATTATTCATTCCATGTTTGTTTTGCCGGCTTACACACTTTATCTGTAATGAATAATGTTACATATTTTACACGTTATCACTTGTATCATTCTGGAAGTCAAATCCTTGCTACTTCTCAAAGTTGTTTCAACTTCCTTTGAATGGAAAAAAATAATGAAAGCTCTTGCATAGAGGCCTTGCTAATATATATATATATATATATATATATATATATATATATATATATATATATATATATATATATATATAGTGACGGTTAGTTCTTCATGAAACATATATTCTATTTGAATTCGATTCGAAATTATTCAACCAAAATCATTATTCGTTTCGAATTCACTTCGAACCTAAAATTCACTATTCGCACAAGCCTAATTTTTTCGGCTGTTAATTTGCGCGGAATGAATTGCAAGTAAAAGTCGGTGAGGCCACGCAAACCCGCCGGCGCAACAAAAGGATTCTTTGACCACAGCTGCCGATTCTTTGAACACCGCCGCACATGCCGATCTAGGCAGCCATTGACCTCTGTGCGTGCAGAGAGTTGTGTATTTCGCGGACCTTTCAAGCAAGCTGCCCGACCTGCCTCCATCCCGCATGTTTTGGCTTTCAAGGTCGCCTTCCTGCCGTATCCTCCCCTCTCTGCACTCTACAAGCCTTGCCCTTCTCTCGCAAATCGGCTCTTCTCTCTTGACACAACTCCTTTGCTCGTCTCCACCGATCCGCGATGCTAGCCACACTCCTCGAATTCAGAAGTTTTGTTTTCTGACGATAAACGGGCACAGAGCTGTACCAGGCGTTCTGGCATGTGTGTTGCGTGTGTGCGTCTTGCTCCCTCTCGGTGTGCTTGTGTGGTCAGGATGGCAGACACGCCTTGCACACTTTTTCCTGCCTCTCAACACAACGGCGAAAATGTGACCGCTTGGCTTGGGTGTAATCCGCGCGTTAGGTACCGTGTTGCGGAGCGCTTGCTCATAGCTGTTGACCACCTGGCAGCCAACTTGCCGCTTCGGGCGTCTTGGTATTCAGCTGTGGAGATGGTAAATATTTCGTGGGCAGCGGTGACGGCTACATGCGTGAAACACTGTTTTTGCGAGGCTGACTTCGTCGACATCGAGCCCGATGCCAAGCCCGAAGGTTCCGAACAGGACCACTCCGGCAGCGATTTGTGGCAGCGCGTTGTCGACTGATTTGGCAGAGCGGGCGAGACATCAGTTGCGATGTTTTAATTACGGCAGATGATGATGCCAACACCGTGGAATTGTGCACGAATTAGAACATTGTGAGCTAAGTAAGCGGCTAGATCGATTTGGAGGAATCATATTGTGAGAACGACAAAACTTTGGAGCCAGTGCCACGGGCCTCGGCGAAGAGCACACTGCCGTTTGAAATAAACTCGAGACCGCCCGTATTGCTTCTGCTCTTCGAAACACGTGCATCACGAACTTTTTTGGGCAAAAAATTTTGTGTTTTCACTCACAACTTTTTAAAAGCTGTTTTTATTTACTTCTACGAACTTTGGAATACAGCGAACGGATGCAGCGTCAGGCTCAGGTTCGTTATAAGCGGGCTCGACTGTAGTCATCAGGGCAGACAAACAAGGATTGTGGAATGTGGGCAAGCAGTCAACACTAAGAATGCACGTAAGATGGTTGCATGCCTTGAGCACCAGCCATCGGGGGTGCTCAAGGCAGTCTTGCGCAGGCCATTATATGAAACTGGAAGCGTGCATAATATACACTGCACAATCGAGGTTTCTATCAAGTTGTCTCCATAGGAAATTCGTTTCACGCACAACGTGAATGCACAAAAATCAGACCTGCATTACAGGAAAATCTGACTGCATTAGTTTGTGCATTTTAAACTCGATTAATACATGTTTACTTAGTCACATGCTGTTACTTCTTACATTAGTGTTTTAGATAGTTCGTTCCCATGCGCAAGAATGGGCCGATGGAGGCGCTACACTAGTGGCAATGTAAGGGAGGAGAACTGTTGCGAATTTGTACTGACGCAAAGCAATCCCATTCAGCGATTCCAGCAAACAGGCACCCTAATCTTTTTTTTTTTTTTTTTCTCCACTAACACTATGCACTTAGCCATACTCACCTGTTGTGGTGCTCTGGCTGGCAGTTTGTGCTCCTCTTTGCCCTAAAACGAGAACGCCCATTCAGGAAACTGTACTCTAGGTGTTTACACAGCACACATAACAATGGATGTCCACAGCCCTACAGGCTTTGCAGTGACCTCCTACAGTTGGGTGGAATGTTCTTGCAGAGATCAATTTTAAAACTTGGTTCTACATGCCAAAATGACATGACTGTGAGGCCCACTGTCGTAATAAACTCTGTATTAATTGAAACCACCTGGGCTCCTTCAATGCGAACTCAAGTCCAATTTAGAACTTGGTACCTAATAACTTGGACTTGGAAACTACCGTATTTGCTAGCGTAATGAACCCACTCACAAAATGAACCCCCCCCAACCTTGATCCTTGAAAAAAGGAAAAATGCATCTGTTAAAAAATGCATTTTTTAATGCATCTGTTCATTTTATTTCAGTATGATAGCCAGTGCTGTTAATGATCAAAACAATATTAAATCAATGTGTTAAATGACAAAATAACAACGGAATGAAAGCAAAAGATAGTGATGCAATCATGCTAAACAGTTGTGAGCAGCGCGAGCATGGACGTCAATCGAAATTTGAAAATCGCGCTTTGTAGGGCAGAGCGCCATCTGTCGAATGCAGGAGAAACCTCTTCGCTGACAGTGGCACGAAAACACAGCGGCACAAAAACAAAGCACATGGCATCCAAAATGGCGTTGGCGCTGCGTCTAAGAACACGTTGCGCGCTCGCCATCTCGAACCTATGCAAGGCACAACTGCACCCACCGCGTCGAGGGCGCATTCTGCACCCACAACGTCTAATACCTTTGTGCGCCGCCATCCGAAGCTGCATTTTCAATGTTGGGTTTGTCGTTGTCAACATAGTTGGGACACCTGCTGCGCGGGGCGCCTTCGGCAGGCACGCTAGCTACTCGGCTGGTTACTAACAGCATGCGCTGGAGCATTGGAAGTGAGCGGCTGTACGACACTTCGGCGTCAATCCATGCACTTTTAATACAAGACGAAACAAAAAGAGCTTCGGGGTACAAAAAAAAAAAAAAATTGTCCTGCATTTCACGGGTCAACGGGTCAAAACAAGCAAAGTTGTCACCCGAAATTTTCGCTGTTATAACTCCTGTGACTTTTTTCTCACGCGTAATGAACCCTCCCCCTAAATTAGCATCAACTATCATAAAAAAAAAAAAGGTGAGTTCTTTAGCGGAGTAAATAAGGTACGTCCAAGTTTTCGCATGTCAACTAACTAAAGAAGAAGCCACCCAAACTACGTTCCCATGATTAGCATGCACACTGCCAGATAAACATCGCTACAGCAAATACTTAATGATTAACAATGGTTCACAACCAATTTGAATCGGTGGCAGTTTATGAATGCATACCTCGATGCTTGCTGCCCGGGCATGTGGAAATGTGTCGTGCAAGACATCCGATGTTTCCTTTATGATGTCGGCAATGGTTAGGCCTTTGAAGCCCTTGGTCACGTAAACACGCTTGAGCGCAGCCCTGATTTCCTCCCTGCAATGTGCACGGAGGGAAAATCAAGGTTAAATAAACTACAGGGTTCATAACCATGACGAAAAAACAAAACGTAGAGTTTTCAAGGACTTTCAAGGCCCTAATGAAGATGTTTCAAGGACTTTAAAAGGGATTTCTTTGTCATGGCATTTGTCATGCTACTGAATTGCAGCTCCAGACATAGATTGGTTTGGAGTACTTGCTGGCTGAGCAACACAACTGCCTGCAATTCAAGGGCATAAGTGTAGCCTGAAAGGGGGTTGATAGAACCCCCTTAGATATCTTCGGATTGTCACAGTCCTGCCATTACGTCGTAGCATACTGGCTTGCTCTGTTCCAGTCACTGCTGCGACTTTTATCACCAGCATATGCACAATGAAGGAGTGCCAGTCTCTTTCACTTCTCCCCCTTTCCTTCTTTCACAAGCAGGATTGCACAACCCCGCCTTATAGTGCTACATAACACCAGGTCATGACGTCATGACCTCTTCTGGCACGCATATTCTGCTTCTTTCACGATGCCACAGCACATGCACCCGTACCCTAGCGGAAAGGTTGTGCAATACCCTGTCATCATAGAGGATTTTGTTCTGCCAATAATGGCTGTCCCAGCCCCTATCAGAATGGCAGAAGGCAGCACAGAAAAACAAAAAAGGCGGACTGCACTAGAACAAAGCAAAACAAAATGTTTCCCTCAGGATCCGTAGTCAGAAAGAGTGGCCTTTCGGTGTGCAATAAGTGCACGGCGAAATTTCGATCGTTTCGAAGTATGTTTGCAATGAACATTATGCAAGTAATGAAAAGATGAGCAAAGACTGCACTCACAGAGGGACACGGGGGTGCTTTTCCATGAGCTTCTGCATAAGCTTCTCACTTCGATGTAACTGGCCGGGTGCCTCGTTCACCGCCTGAAAGCATGTTTGAAAGCATGTTTGTATGTAGCAATGGTCACAGAAACCTTGAAACTACATGAACCTATTGCAGGGTTATTGCTCGTTTACCCGATGAAAATTCAAGAGTTTTCGAGGACTTTCAAGGCTAAATCAGAAAGCCAATTAACATACTTTAAGGGGAGGATGGAGGCACGATATAATTGACTCATTGAAAACGGGCAAGATCACTGGAGCAAACATTGAAAATATGACTGCAATTACATTTTCTTTCAAGAGAACTTTAGATCATAGTTCCATGGAATTGCATGGATAACCACTGAATGCTTGAATTTCAGTATTCCAGCAATCTCTTGAATTATCATATGAATGTCCCCTGTCTCCTGCTGCTTGGTCTTGGCAGTCTTCCTAAGGGTGTATAACTTGCATGTCAAATCCCTAGTTGCCTCTGCTTTATCTGTATACGAGTCTGCTATTGGCCACGAGATCGATCAGAGTCACCGCCTGGCAGAATCTGGTTGAAGAGGCGAAGGGTGGATTGCTCAATCTGGTTGAAGAGGCGAAGGGTGGATTGCTCCATGCGTCCTCTGCTAGCCACGTCGTGTTTCTATGTGCGCATACGCCATGCACATTCTCAAAGTGTGGTTTGTCCAGTCATGTCAGGGCGAGTGTAACTGTTTCTACGTATGCCTGAAGCAAGGTACGAAAGCATTTGGTCTTGCTCGGCTGCTAATGTATTGTAATAAGATCAGTGAGCGCAACTTTCTAGAGTGCTGTTTATTGTCGTCATAGCCTCCCCATTCATTCACCAGAGTAATTTCAGAGTAGGTGCCGCTTTCCGTTTCAAGCACATTGCGAAATGCTCGTGGCATCCTTCCAAACATGAGGACTATTAAATGGTGTGTGAATGCAGCATTTATAGTGGATCGAATGAATAAAAAAGGGGGGCTCTAGGCCACGCACTTGCATCCTTCCAAACATGAGGACTATTAAATGGTGTGTGAATGCAGCATTTATAGTGGATCGAATGAATAAAAAAGAGGGGCTCTAGGCCACGCACTTGCATGCTGTTGGTAGGTGTACAACTGCGGCGCTGTAGTTTATTGATCATTCCAGGAGCCTTAGCTGTGTTTACATGGCCGTAGTACCACTACATAGAAATATTACCAGTATCACGTAAATTGTGACACACCCGTACTTAAACTGTACTTAAAACAGAGTTACCTTGCGCAACCGTGTACTTGAATTTCGGAACGCTTTAAAGAGCCTAGACGTTGAAAATTAACTCAGACGGCATGCCTTATATATAATGTCATATGATTTCCCTGAAAATTTCGTCTTTTTTACATTGTGTTCGTTTGTGTGGCATTGTAAGTGACCGACGGAAGGCATGCAGTGGTCATTTTTGTCTGAAAAAAAAAAAAATGCTCGTCCAGTTAACCAGGCCTTTGTTGCAGCACTGTCATGCACATAATAAATCGATGAAAGCTTTCTGCTGAACTCTTATATAAGATTTTTACTATAGCAAGAACATATGCGTAACGTGGTAAACGCAGTGTAGCGCAAAACGTCGTCAGCCACTAAGCTTTCCTGACTAGACTTATTGACTGTCCCACTTTTCATGGTGAACAGAATGAGAGAGAAAAAAAAAAAAACATGCGTATAAGGTGCGAACAGTGGTACTGAACTAAATGAACAGACATGCGGGTTTTTTACGATCTTTCTCTGTTTTTTGTAGTATGCAGATGACAAAGATGTAAATAAGTAGTTCAGTCACGCTACAGCAATGCGTAGAAGGCGGAACACAAGCTAATTACGTACAAACAACACAGCAATGGCACGACTTAATGCGAAAGCGTGAGGAGAGTCACCCAGGCCGAGCATCCCTATGAAAGGCAGAATGCTCTTTACTCGCGGGTAATGTTAATGTTGCATAGGCGTCATGCACCGATTCAGTAGAGAAGAGCATAGATATTACAAGTAAACTGTAGTCAATGCATCTTATCCGCCGACAATTGGCTCAGACAACCTATCCACACTTGCGCTGGGACAGTGCTGCCACCTAACCCAATCTCGCCGCAAATAGCTGTTCACTCCCTAAGAGCGCCTGCTGGTTTCTTTTTCGTTGACATTTTGACCTTCTCCTCAATGCAACATATTTTTCTCTGTTTCTTATCCTCCCGCATTTTCCGAATTTCCAAAAATGCATGGTGTTGGCTTCTTTTGTGACGGGCACATTACATCTGCCAGGAACGTAAACATGCGCACATTATGTGCACATGTTTACATGACCACTTTCTTTAAGAATTCGGGCGTGATCCCTGCACATAATCTGTACCAATATTCTTCGAGTCACATATACAGACAAGTTCAATATCGGAACATAAACAACTTATAAAATCTTGCCCAACTTCGAAGAAAAGCTCCAAGTTACGGTATCAGACACTTGAAGGAGTGGTTAGTACCAACACCGCGTTCAAACTACGGAAAACAAATGCTCCACTACACAATACCTACACTACTAAACAGCTATAAATCAATGCAGTTTGACCTTCTTACGGCCTCTTTCAAAGATGTTAAAAGAATGCATGTGGTTTCTGCATAGATTCATGTGCAATACAAACAAGTTTTTTATTTTGTTGCCTTTTAAAAGGAAAGTGTGTTGAAATATGTTAATGCACTAGCATGCCCCTGTATGTATATATGCGTGTGTGTGGGCTTTGTGTTTGTATAATTATGTAAAAGTGCAAGAGTACATATGTATTTATATTATTATGTAATGTGTTTGTAATATTGCCGCACTGTCAAAGACATAGGGTTGTAGGCTAGTCAAACTGTTGGGAGACTGCTTTTTTTCTACAATCCTCCATCTGTATCTCACAAAGATGGCAAATAATTATTATTATTAGTATTATTATTATTATATACAGAATCGCAAATTATGTGCTGTGAAGTATGCAACAATGTTTATTGAAAAAAGAAAAAAGATAATTCAAGGACTTGCAAAAATACAAGCTACTTCAAGACCTTGAAAATACTTTTATAATTTAAAAGTTCAATATGAAGTGTCCCCTTCTGGGCTAACAAAAACCAATGTAATGCCTAATAAAATCTGAACTAAAGTCGCCCGGTGTCTAATAAACAGTATCAAATAAGTGCATTATAAGCAGGCATGTGAATGCATATCAGCACCTCCATGTAATGCAGGCAGAGAGCTTAGTTTGCGAGTTTAGATAAAAATGAAACTTGTTCTCTTTGCCTCAAGTTTCAGGTCTATCGCATGCTTAATGCACAATCTTTCTTTAAGGGGGGAGAGAGGGGACAAGGGTCTTAAAAAAAGTATTATCCTACTGTCATGAAAATCACCATGCATGTGTACCATTGAATGGAGATTTCAAATCAAAAACGGATTTCAAATATGACATCTAGAAAAAAAGTAATGACAAATTTCCGCATTATAAATAGGTCATTTTTTACGGGTCGTTATGGTAACTCAAGAACTACATGTTTCCTCTAAAATGTTCATCCTACAGGCTAAAGCAAACTAAGTGTCAAAACGGTTTATTTTTTTATGAGAAAATATTTTTAAACTTGGAAGGTAAAAATGAGCTTCCAGTAATTAGCTAGCATTTGTCATATAATTAGAATTCTATTAAGGTTGAGAAAAATAAAAGCTTTAGCCTGTAGTTCAAGTGCTGCGGAAAAAAATGGTGCCAAGTTTGTTTAGATATATTCACAGAATCTTGCTCAAAAATTCCGTAAGGCACAAAAGTAACAATGCCAAGAAAATTATATTTTCAGTTTTAAAAAAATTTGTAATTTCGTATATTAAGCTTTTAACAAAAAGAAATGATATTTTTCCAAAACATACTTCCAGCTATAAATACCTCAAATTGCAATTTTTGAAAGTCGGCACTTTTTACAATTTTGCGCTAATTTAAGACCCTTGCCTCGCCTTTAGGACAAGTGGTCTTGGGCAAAAACTCTATATTACTGTTGGGCAAAAATCTCAGCACATCAAGCATTTTCTTTGGCTTTTAATGGGACTCTCTCACCTTAATGGGGGACGTGGGGATCGAATCACGAAAAAGGTAAACAAATCGATTTTCTGAAAATCTCATTTTTAGTTTCTGTAGCCCCCTCTTTTTATTAATCTAAATCCAAAATATGTTCACTAAAACTACACAGAAGTGCTTTTAAAAAGTTCTGCCCACGCAGACAAATCAAATTACTGTGGGAACCTAAAAAATGAACTCATTTTTCAAAAAAAAAAAACAAGACAAAACAGAAAAGACTGCTTTGTGATGTCACAAATAGGCATGAAGATCTTGAGCTCATCGTAAACAGAATTTCTTCCTGTTCAAAAACCAAGCTTCCAGTGGCTCCTCCATTTAAAAACAAGCGCACAATAAGCAAATGTTTGAAGGTCATTTTGAGGTCCCAGATTAACTGCGGCTGCCACAATGATCTGGCATGCCACGCCTTTGGTCCGATATCGCTCCATGTGTGCGTCGTCTGCGGTTTCCACTTTGCGAGATCACGGCTATGGAATATCATGCTACTTAGTGATTAAATGATGTGTTCACACTCATTCTGTCTTTGCAGGTTGACGATAATTACTAATTACGTCTTACCAGACACTCCAAGAAACTAAACTATTGTAGTACAGTAGGACAACGTGAACAGCGCAAAGCGAGATTCGAACCTGTACTGAATTTACACGTCGAACTCGCTGTTAGACAGTCTGCCCGCCAGCATCTCAGAGTTCATGACGAAGACCACAGCGGCAGAACATTTTATACTCCTGATCTATCATGGCGTACCTTGAAACATCAGAACTACAACTGCTCTCACCGAATCGGGCTAACAGCTCAGAAAAATGGTTAGGCCTAATTTGACCATGGTGCCGTTGTTGAAGGCGAATTTCAACTAAGAGCATTGTGGTAGCGCACATGCGAAAGTGAACAGGCTTCATCACAAGAAACAAATCACACCCTATGATGAACGATTTCGCCTTCGAATCGCGAATCAGCATTTTACACATCAGCAGTGGGCGTGGAGAAAGTGGCGTTGGCCATTCTTGACGCACAGCGATCGCTTGAGGCAGCGTTGCAATAGGCATGCTGTGCATCGCCCCTGAATGCCATCAACCAGCAAATCGGGCACCATCTTCATGGAACCCGCGGCCGAGCGCTTGGAGAAGAATATAAGTCTCAGTAGTGATACAACTTAGGCGCACTTCAAGCCGTGCTTAGGGTCACAGCAAGTGTTTGTAAATGTACTGAAATGATCAAAGCCTCGCCCACTACATTTCCGTGACCAGGTGAAGGATGAAGCGTATCATGGCGAGGGTGACATGTGAACTTGTTCGGAAGAGGAGACGAATTTTTATCTGTCAAACTTGTGACAAGTAAGCTCCCTCGATTGCATGATTGCAGACTTGTAACATGAAAGTGGTCATCGAACCTGGTAGGCTCACACTACAAAAAGCAGAAATTGACCCCAAAAAAAAAAAAAAAAAAAAAAGAAATCCATCAGGTGTAGAAAAAAAAATGAGAGAGCAAGGGCACAGGAAGGTCCCTGCAAGCAAAGTCACCAAATGCTACAGCTCCAAGGTATTTTGATTTACATGTGCAGTCGAAACCCACCATAACGAAACCCCGCAAGTACGAAATGCCCGCGGCAACGAAATAATTACGGATCCCCGGCGAACGTTCATAGAAGCCCATGTATTACGTATCTCGCGGCAACGAAATGTTTTTGGACAGCGATCCCGCATTAACGAATTTTCTACCACGGTGCAGGCCTTATTTTACCCTCCCACCAAAGGTTAACTGTCGAAAATATGCTCGTATGCGTGTTATGCACACTCAAAATTTGTAAACGTCTGCTTTTTACGCGCTAGCGTGGGCACCGCCATTTTTGTTTACTTAAGGGGGGACGCGGCTTTGGAATCGCGAAAAATAGCAAAAAAGATCTACTTTCTGAAAATCAAGTTTTCAGTTTCTAGAACCCTTTTTTCTATCCGATTCCAAAATATCTACAATGAAAACCGCGCAGAAGTGCTTCGGAAATTCATTTCACCCACTTAGGTAGCGAAACTTTTTCTGGAAATCTCGAGAAAACAACGATTTTCAGAAAATTATGGCTTCACGGTTGCGGGTCCGGGAGCCGGCATCTTGGGCTCATCAGAAAGAGCATTTCTTCGTGTTTAACTTTCCCACCTCAGCTGACTCCTCCCTTTAAAAACAAGTGCACAAAAAGCAAATGTTTGAAGGTCATTTCGAGGCCCTTAATTGGCTGTGGCCGCCATGTTGCCTCAGCTCGCCTCGCTTCGGGAGATCGTCATCTGCTGCTTGTCCGTCGCGAGGACATGGCTCTCAAAAATTGCTACTTCGTGGCGTGTTCACGGCTCGATGATCACTTCAGATATAATTGCGCTTTAGTTAGGAGCAGTAAATCGATGCGCGATCAGGTTACTACGAGCGCGGCACGTCATCGGAGTCGTCTTTAGCCCTCACTCCGCCGACAGCGAGAATGCGAGCAGGAACGACGCACTCATGGCGACGTGCTTCTTCGCAAGCAACGAAGCTGTAAGCGGCGGCACGTTCAGGTTACTACGAGTGGCCGCACCGGATACACGACCAGATTACTACGAGCGGGCGCACGGTCTACGAGCGCGGCACATCATCGGAGTCGGCTTTAGCCCTAACTCTGCTGACAGCGAGACTGCGGGCAGGAACGACGCGCTAGCGCATCCAAAACAACCAGCGGGTTGTTTTAAATGCGCTGGACAGCCTTCGCTCCTTCTTCGGCGCACATGACGAGGACGTAGCAATGGACCACTTTCGCCAGTGCGAAGGGAGAGCTTTGAAGTTGTTGCATGGCAAGGGTCGGCAAAGTAAGTTGACCGACTGCTGGCAATAAATTTTCGTTCTGCTGGCCGTATCACGGTTTTTATGTCTCATACTCGCGGCAACGAAATTTTCGCGAAAACGAAATTTTTCGGTTTTCCCGGCGATTTCGTTATTAAGGGTTTCGACTGTATACTCAAACCTCGATATAACAAAATATTGGTTATAACAAAGTAAATAAAAAAGTCTTGCAATAATTGTAGTGTTAGGAATAAACCTTTAAAACAAATTTTCAGATATAATGAACCTATTTTGGATGTAAGATGCAACTTTGTTATTGAGGTTTGAGTGAAGTAACAGTGCAACTTTAGTGCCAGTTTTCTCAGAAGGGTGTTTTGACTAGACAGGCCCACTGGCAAAAAGCATAGCACAACTATAGCTTGATGGATTTTTATGAGGCTAGTTGCACCGTGTTCCCTAGGGAATTCTCTATGCTAATGTGTCCCTACATTTTTTTTTAATCACCATCTTGTTTTATTAATCTTTAGCTAACTTTGACATGATAAATGCATTATACAAACAAAGATTGTTCTATGGAAAAAAAATTGGTCTGATAAAAATATTTGGAGAATGTCACAGTATGCAGCACTCCTATGGCTAAGGTATGTCAGCAACTGTGCGTTTTTACCACGCTTCTTTGTCATGCCAGGTGTTCTGCAAGTTTGGTATAACAATGATGCAATTAAAAATTTGTATTGTCAAAAATACTGGAGGCATCATAATGAAACTTGGTGAAAAGTCATTGTGCACATTATCCAACAGGCATTCCAAATTTCAGTGCCCTACTACAAAAGTTTAAGAATTTCACTTCTAGTCCACCTCCCCTCTATTAACAGGATTGTGAGAGACGTCTTGTAATGAGTATTTTCCCACTCTGGCTCAGCTGAAATGCGGCTGCCACCACCGGCATTTAACCTGTGCTCTTCTGCGTACAACACAATACGAGTAGCATGAAGTCACTCTAGTGGGAAGGAAGTTTTCACAATCCACTGCCATGGAAATGCTACAGCGAATGAAACTTTCATTGAACAAGTCGTTATCACCAAGAATAACAACAGACTTATTCAACTTTGTATTCAATAGTACACTGCCACAACCACTCGGGTAGATGCGTTTACTAGGCCAGGAAAAACAAAATGACATTTCAGATTGGCTATGAAGGGAAATATGGGGAGAGAAGGTTATCGAAGACACGTCATTAGCCGCAAAGAGAAGCTTGAATATCTGTGGGCTGCTGTCTTGCTGAGAAATTATCATAGGCCAATGCTGTTTTTCTCGCCTGCTCTAACTAAGGAAAGTAAACATTAAGCTTGCTAGGGTCTGCGAGTGGTTTAAAGTTCAAACGACACACCAGACAAATGGACAGTCGGATAAAATAGTAAGCGTCTTTCGACACCTTTTCAGCCGGTCGGCTGGCAGCAGTGGGATAGCCCGGAGATGTCCTGGCCGGTGTGGCAGCTCCCAATGCAACTTCGCCGTTACCAGTGGGAATCGGAGCTGAAGTTGCTGCACACACAATCACATAACAGCTTATTTATAAACTGTCCCGTATAGGCTTGTGTAATTATTCGAATGCTACTAATATTCGAACAAATAGTTGAGTATTCAAGTTCGCTCCGATTTGAATTGAAATGATCGAATATTTTCAAAGTATTCGCAATGAACGACTAGGTGTATAGTAATCTGCATGTAACCGCCTGTAAAGGTGGTTTCACTGCAATGTACGTGTGCTAAGCCGTGAAAGCATCTACCTAAAGGAAATTCGCTTTGCCACGAAGTCCCCCTTCAAATTTAAAAGGGCCCTGCAACACTTGATGAGCATGGTCGTAAAAGCTGCGGCAGTCGAGGCTATCGAGAACACACGAGGCAAATATTATAGCGCAGCACGTGGCCTGTAATTCACAATAAATTTTCAAAGCAAGAAATTGCTTTCTTCCCTCTGCAAATGGCACTACAAGCTCAAAAATCACTTGTCACCGCCAAGAAAGAATATGCGGCTCTAGTCAAAGCCATTGGCTGATTTGAGCAAGGCGTGCTTGTCGTTGCCGGAGCTGCTGCGGAAGGCTGCCACTTGTTTTCAGCGCGATCGCACTAAAAAGCCGTGTATTCGAAGAAAAAAAAAAGAGTGCTCAAGGTCACGATGTGCGTGTGACGTTTTTTTTTTCGCCATGCCATTCCTCCCGCTTAGCTTTCAGCTATTTCGTCGAGACAAGAGAATGCAATTGCAGCGTGCAACAAATTTTTGGAAGTCCACTTGTGCTGGGCTGATCGACAGTAAATTTGTGAGGCAACAAGCATGTTTACTGGTTGCATGGCTACTTGAAGAAGTGTTGCAGGGCCCTTTTGTTATGTTACCCTCATGTTACCCTCAAATCATTTTATTGAGCTTGTTATGACAGCTTACATACTCCGAGAATAATAAATTTTAAAACGTGAAGTATCTTATCACTCGCATCCTACCCAAACTACTACGCATGGTTGTTTCAACTTCCTTTGAACGATAAAAAAAAAAAGGCATTTGCATAGAGCCCCTATTTCAATTTAAAAGAAATATCGTGCAGGTTAGTTAGGTCATGACAAATATTCCCTTTTTTTTTATATGTCTTACATAACATTCGAATTAGATTAGAAATTATTCTATCAAAATCACTATTCGCTTCGAATTCACTTCGAACATAAAATTCACTATTAGCACAAGCATACTCCTGTATAAATGTACGAAATTCTAACATAGCGTAGCTAAAATACAAGTGTCCAGTGAAACACCCACATTTGAAAAATGAAAGAAAAGAATAGCACAAAATTGCATTTTTCTACAATCTTGTTTACTTTTTTTTTCACTTATTTCACTACCCTTAGAAATTTAACCTAACTGCAGGTCGTTTAACTCATTTTTATTTATTCTTCATGGGACTGGTAAAACAGACTCATTTGGTAAGTTGGAAAAAGAAGAGAGAAATAAACTGCTTGTTTAGCTGTATTTGCAAGATGAAGTAAAACCTTCACGACTTCAGTTGTCATTTAAAAATAGTCACATCATTCGAAGAACCTACACAGTCCCGTGTTCCATCTACAGTATAAACCCAAATGAGACGATGTGGCAGCCTACACCAGCCTGATAACTGAAGTGCAATGAGGCGATTCCGAATCCCAATTTGGCCACAAACCCAGGAATTCGGATCCCAATTTGGCCACAAACCCAGGCATTCGGCTGCCCTTCGCAGCCACAAGGCTATGTAACATTGACAGATGGAATGATGGAGCAGCCCGGCCTCATACCTGTTGCTGCCAGCACAGAAACAGTGCATGGTAAGTCTTGTAAACCTCTCAAAAATGTGCTCCACCACAACACAGCACTCGCAGGCCAACAGCTCGTCACGTGCTCCTTGCAGCTAATGTGTGTTGTGATGCATCCATTCACCTATGTTCTTTTACAACGAAAGCTGTTATGAGATCATAACTCGGGCTTCACGCAGCGCCGCAGTTGTCCACTGCCGCTGCTGCTGGTGTCCATAACCACATCGGCAAAATATGAAAAAAATATGAAAAAAAGGAACCTAGTACCACTAACACAGTGGGGCTCGAACCCGGGTCCGCTGGGTGCCAGCCCAGTATTCTACTATTGAGTCACGCCCGTGCTCGGTACTTGTTGACAAACTTGCCTTAGGCAGGCATGATGTTTGGAAAGCAATCGCGTTAATATGACTTGTAAAGCGTTTTGCAACAGCGAAAGAACAACCAGTCGTCACACAATGCTCGAACCCATTAAAAAAGCTTGTTTTTGTTGAGCTATTAAAGGGGCCCAGTAACACTTTTTGAGCATGGTCAGAAAACGCTGCATATCGGTAGAAGAGGCTCCGGACAACACGTGAGCCCAAATATTATAGCGCAGCACGCGGCCTGGAATTCACAATACATAATCAAAGTCAGCGAAAAATAGCTTTCTCTTCTCTCAACAAATCACGGAAAATAAGCCCAGTAAGCTCATGTATCAGCCATTGGCTGTAACAACCGCGCGCTCCATGTTAAAACCATTGGCTGATTTGAACATGGAGCGCTCGGTTGTTACAAAGGTTGCCACAAGATGCCGTCACTTGTCCACGCGTGCGCACGTGATTGCACTGAAAAGGTTGCCTATTCGAAGAAGAAAAAAAAAAGAAAAGGTGCTCGAGGTCACGATGCGCGAGTGACCTTTTTTTTTTTCCCCCTCCCATCCCTCCCTGCTCAGCTTCCAGCGCTTTCGTCGGGATGAGAGAAGAGAAAATGTGATTGCAGCGTGTGACAAATCTCTACAACTCTGCTCGTACTGAACGGATTCTTAAAATTTTTGCAGCAGGCAATTCGTGAGGTAATATGCTTTTCCAGTGAATTAATTTTATGGTCACCCAGAAAAGTGTTTCAGGGCCCCTTTAATTGTGGCGCATACCCACTTCAGGCATAATTCTTCATCGTCGTCAGCCACTGCATGAACAATTGGCACAAAATTTCTCGCAATAGTTTAGTGGATACCACGCTTCTCAGAAGAATGACGAAAAATAGCATAGCGAATGCTGGCCTACTACCCCATAATATTTATTATTAATGCTGCAGCGGGCATGAAACAAGTATGCTTGCAGTTGTTACCAAATGAGTGTTTTGAAAAGGCCCTGAAAGGCCGCTTTTCTGGCTTTCGCTGTGACTGTACTGTGCCTTCTGCACAGGCCTGGCGTTTGGTGCAGGCACACTTGCTTGATACCCACAACGGCATTAATAATAAAATTTTTTGGGTAGAAGGTCGGCATTTGCTACGTTATTTTTTGTCATTTTTCTGAGAAGCATGGTATCCGCTGAACACTCAAGAAATTTCGTGCCAATTTTTCATGCAGTGGCTGACGCCGATGAGAAATTATGCCTGAAGTGGGTATGCGTCACAGTTAATAGTTGAACAAAAACAAGCTTTTGTAATGGGTTGGAGCATTGGACGACCCACTCGTTGCGCTGTTCGCATTGTGCGACGACTGGTTCTTTTACTGTTTTAAAACGCTTTGCAAGTCGTACTGACGCGATTGCTTCCCTGAGGTCAAGCTTGCCTAAGGCAAGTTAGCCAACAAGTCCCAAGCACAGGCGTGGTTCAGTGGTAGAATACGGGGCTGGCACCCAGCGGACCTGGGTTCAAGCCTAACTGTGTCATTGGTGCTAGGTTTTTTTTTTATAATTTTGTGCGATGTGGTTACGAACACCGGCGGCGCCGGTGGATAACCATGTGTGACCAGAGTAGTGATCCGATAAAAGCTTTCGCTGTAAAGCATTTATTTAGCTCAGCTTGATAAAAACCATAGTTTCAAGTGGAGTATAAACAAGATAAACAGAGAGAGACAAGCACAATTTTTCTGCAAAGAACGGAAATTCATATTCCGGCTGTCCGCCTTCTGGAGGTTTTTACTGGCTTTGCGGCCACTTTTAGAAACACTTTCACTGTATACTGCTACCTTGACAAGGCCAATACAGTATACGCCAAGTTGCTTATGAAAGTCTGCAAGCTTTTCTTTGAGGTGTGGCAGCTTGGGCTAGTTGGTATGGCATGACGATAGTTATAGCGCGAGAACAAAACGTGTCTTTCGTCCGTGTCTTTCATGTCCTTGTCTCTGTGTGTCAAGAAGGACACGTGTCTTTCGTGTCCTTGTCTCTGTGTCGTCGTTTTGTTCTCGCGCTATAACTATCGTCATCGTTTTTTTTTCTGAGGTTCGGATATTTTCTTGCTTTCAGCCCGCAGTAACATTTCCTGAACGACGTGCAGCCAAGATCTCCATTTACGCCATTCAGGATATCAAGCCTCGGGCACCCAAAAAAGACGCGATGCAGCTATATTTAGTGTGCAAAATGACCTTCTTTTGTAGTGAACTTTCGTAATGGAAGTAGTGCATCACAGCTTCCTGCATTTCACTGATAACAGATATGATGTGCGCAGGCCCTATGCAAAACTGACCACAACATGTGTTCAGGAGCCATTATGTGATGGCGATAGCAATGCATCTGACTCCTCTGAGCTCATGCTAGTGCCACATATGTGGTTTCCGTTTCACGTGACTATAACGTTGTGGGGGTGCTGACACCCCCCTGTAAAGTTGTCTGCGCCGCGTGGCACACGTGTCTCGCCGCAAGGCTTTATTTCGGTGGTGATCACCGCCGGGCGGTAGATGGCGTTGTGTTCGCTTTGAGTACCACTGTTGGTAGAGTGGTAGCGTCGGCGGTGGCCCCTGGCAGAAGGCAGGCCTTGGTGGTGGGCGAGAGTTGAGCAGGCTCTTCTGCGCGTGGCAGCTGCCGCGAACGGTTGTCTGTAGCGGGGTCCCCGGTGCTCGGCACCGCGGGCTTCGCGCCGGGGTCCCACATGGAAAGTCAGGCGTTGGCGATACCGCCTTGGGTATGTATTAGTGTGTTGGATGTGTGTTAGTGTGTTTAGTGTGTCACTGCGTTATGTTGTTTGTATGGTAGCGTGTTAATCAAAATTGATGTATCATTCGGCGGACGATATTGTCGTCTAAATTAGTTAATAAATGTGTGTATGTTGTGTGCTTTGTACCGACCGCGTCTACTGTGTCCGTTCACTCCAAGAGCGTGGCGTGGCGAGACACTCGTTCGCCTCGTCGACACCCCACACTGGGCACCGGGGCCCACGCTACAGACAACCGTTCGTGGCAGCCGCCACGCGCAGAAGAGCCTGCTCAACTCTCGCCCACCACCAAGGCCTGCCTTCCGCCAGGGGCCACCGCCGGCGTTACCACTCTACCAACAGTGGTACTCAAAGCGAACACAACGCCATCTACCGCCCGGCGGTGGTCACCACCGAAATAAAGCCTTGGGGCGAGACACGTGTGCCACGCGGCGCAGACAACTTTACAGGGGGGTGTCAGCACCCCCACAACGTACAATCTGTTTCCTTCCTCACTTTCATTCGGCTTTCTTTCGCTGCCCTTTCCTTGCATTTTCCCTTCTAGCCAAGCTCTTGTGTTTTTCTGTTCTCCACTGTACTCCTGTTGGGTAACTGAAGAACGCGAGGAAAATTTTAAAAATGAACGCTTTTCGTTGCTTTCTTTGCTGCAGGCTACGAGTGAGGGAGATACCAGCTTCGTGCACTGACTTATTTTCCCCCCTTATCTCGCCATTGATTTGATTCGAGTCTTTAAAGCAAAGAAAAAACTTCCCTCCCATTTTGCTTTCTCTTGTTTGCTTGAATGCCCCCCAAGACTATAATATTCGTTGCGCAGAATCCCCGTCGCTGTCGGTCATTGCGAGAGTTCGCCTTAACAGAAGAGGCCTGCTAGCGGTTCGTCTTAACAGACTTTTTTTCTGCACTCAGTCTATGGGAAACCAAAGAAACATTCACGATTTGTTCGTCTTAAAAAGTTCGTCTTAACGGGAGTTAGTTTACTGTGCATGTGACAGGGTACCACTTAGCTTAGTTTCAAATGTTACTGTTCAATTAAAATTACTTTCGAATTCGTCGGACTGTTTTGTTCCAAGATGTATGACAGAGGCAAGAATCTTGGGGACAAACATTGCCATTGCCTTGAGAGTCAGAAAATCTACTGTCTTTGAGCTATCATGCTCACTAAGTTTAATGATGATGCCAACAGACAATAAAGATGCAGAAAGCATAGGGAACATTATTTGTAGTTTCTTGACCATGACTAAATAGAAAGCAATTGAAGTGGATCAATACCCCCCCTTTTTTGTCAACTTTTATGTTGGCTCATAGATTGTTTCTATACAAAGAAAACTAGCCCCTAAGTCCTTACTTCATGGTGACAAGGTAAGCACAAGACCTGCCATTAACTAAAAAAGGCAAACTTGAAAAAGAAAAAAATGTGACGGCAGTATGAGCTCAGTACCAATATAATAATAGTCCACGCCAGGGCCAGCAGGAGTTCCTAAGGCAGCAATGTTGACCGGCTTGGCTGTTGCGCTGCTGGACAGAGCCCGGGCTCCTGCCGGAATGTCAAGCCCGGGAGGCAGGGCCTTGGGCCCAGGAGCAGGCTTGGGCCCAGGAGCAGGAACAGTAAAAGGCAGCATAATCCCCGAAGGGTGCGAAAATAGAGGCGCTTGTGCTGGGAAGCTCGGCATCCTAGGTCTGTGGTAAGGATGAAACAACATGCTCTCACCTGTTTATCTGCCAGCAAAATCTCACTCGCACAACACCAAAAAAAAAAGCGTGCGCACGCACACGCACATGCACACACACACACAGCCGGCACACATGCCAATTGCTGTGAAGATACCGAGTACAGGATGCACTGCCATGGGCCCCCACGCCTGGTCCATGTCAAGCAGCCGAGGATGGAAGGATGTGAAAACAGAGTAACGTTTATCAGGATGCCACGTAGCAGCTCTGCATCAGACTAGTTTAGCTGCAGGTGCATCCCTCAACACCTTTATATCTCAAAACATTTTACATTCATGCTCAACTCACATGCTTGCCAAATTTCTTTTTCTCATGCGCAAGGAAGTAATAGGTTATAACATTTTTAAATAACTCTTTAATTTGCACCCATATCTTTCCAGGGACCCTTACTTGACTGCCATAGAGATGTCCTGCTGTGGTGGGAACGTCGGCCTTGGGGCCTGCGGTCGCGGGGCCTGCGGTCTTGAAAGCGGAAGGACCGATGGCTTCGGAAGTGGCTACATGCATGAAAAAATTTCATCATAATACTGACGGTATTCCCTCTGGCTCCAAAGGTGCAAACAATAAGTACAGGGGCTAGCAGGTAAGCATCAGATGTTTAGTGTACTACATAGTTACACAAACATATGAACGCTAGTGAAATTAGTGGCATCTTACACTTGCAAAAAAACCGATTCCCCCGCTAAAAATGATTGTGAATGTATTCTCGTAAAATACTGTATTTACTCGCGTATTGAACCCACCACTTTTTCAGAAAAGTTGACTCCAATTTGGGGGGAGGTTTCATAACGTGGGAGAAAAAGAAGTCATGGTAGTTATAACAGCGCAAATTTCGCATGACGGCTTTGCTTGTTAAGGCCCGTGAAATGCACGATAAATTATTTTTGTAGCCTGTCTTTCCGTAATGAAAACCGCCATACGCACCCTGCGTAGCAGGTGTCCCCAACAACAAAAATGCAGTGTTGGATGGCGGCACACAAACGTTGCGGTAGACGTTGTGGGTGCACGATGCGCCATCGGCACGGTGGGTGCGGTTGCACTTTGCTTAGCCTCTAAAATGGCGGGCGCGCAACATCCAAAATTTCAGTTGTTTTTATATACCCTTTAGACGCGAACCATGATCCACTGTGGGAAAATGTGCCACATTTGCGTGGCATGATTCCAAGGCACTCAGCACTTAGTATTACATTATGAAAAAGAAAATGAGGGAATGTTTTGCTTTGCATGAGTTTTCGGTAAATAATGTTAATTGGTATGTATTTAAGTATGTAATTATTATTTATTTAGTCAGCAGCAATTTTTACACAAAAAAAAAAAATGAAATAAGAAGCCCAAGTGCAAACACAGTGTTTTTTTGTTTGCATTCATTTCAAGGAAAGAAAAAAAAAAAAAACTGGTCCTAGAACACGGCACATCAACTGGTCGTCAAACAGTAGTGTCGCCAGCAAAGTGACCCTCTGCAGCATAAAGAAGCTAAACGACTGGCATCTGTCTATTTGGGAAGCCTGCACAAATGTTCACACCGCGTTCCAAGCCACTTGAGTGAACACACTGTCCGTGACGCCTCTAAATTTGATGGGTACAATTGTACACGCCGCCGCTGATAGGGATATTAATGTCGAGGCAGATTTGAAACTGCACTTGAAGGGAGCGCACCTCTGTCTGCCACATCAGTCGGGTTTCCCCAGAGGTCAAAAGAGAAAAGGCAGCGCCAATAGCACCTTTGCCTTTCCCGTGTAAAGTGTTGTTGGCAGCACTATAAATTGGTTGATTTGTGGGGGTCTAACGTCCCAAAATCACCACACGATTATGAGAGACGCCGTAGTGGAGGGCTCCTAAAATTTCGACCACCTGGGGTTCTTTGACGTGAACCCAAACCTGAGTACACAGGCCATTTCCGCCTCCATCCGAAATGTAGCCGCCACAGCCTGCAACACTATAAATGCACCAGATCGCGTACATAAATACAATTCGGCCTTTGCATGGCCCCATTCTTGATAAGGAAACTATGAAACACCACCCTGCTTGCCCTTAACCAACTTAGCAAAAAGAAACGCTTTCATGTTGCTGCCTCATAAGAAAGTGCTTAGAAATCCTTTCCAACTTATTTTTTTTTCTCTGCGATTTCACGTCGAAGTACAGTGGACTCCTCTTGAACGAAACTTGAAGGGGCAAGAAAATTTTTTCCATTTATGAGAAGTTTCATTTAACTCTTTCGCTACGGCAAAAAAACGGCACTTTTTTTTTTGTTCTTTCACAAAAAAATTTATTACTCTTGAAAAAAAAGAAGGAACATATAGCGCTGTAATTATGAAATTATAGCTTATTGATTCGGCCTTTTATGCATATAAAACACTTTGGTATAAGACTTGTAGAATTGGAAAATGTAATTGTTAAATAACAAAAAATGTACAAAAAGTTATTCAAGCACTTCACAAGTTATTGAATGTAGAGAGCGAAAACATTATTTTGAGAAATCTGCAATATACAAACTGTTACTAGTTCTCTTAGCTATCATTCTAGTATAAACACAAATCCAGTTCAGCCTGTCAATTTTTTTGGGCCCATCAACCTACTGGCCCAGACGACTGTGCCACTCGGCAAAACAGTCGAGTGAAGGCAGGGAGCAAAGGTAAATTTTACAGGTTGAGCAGAATACGTTCGTTCTGTTTTGAGTTTTTGTTTTTTCGTAGCAGAGCTTGCAGTTCCCTCTCTTTTCCTTTCTTTTCGGGTGCCGAACAAAATCTAGAGGGTAGAAGGGGGGTGAGAAAGGGGCATGTCCTTGAGAAACTTCATCATATTGAAATATCTGTTGAATACATTCTTCTCTGAACGCCAATTGGTCAAAGTTCCTGTTTCTGAATAGTTCTTCGACATTTGGATTCTCTTTCTGGTGCTCCTGAAACAAAATAAAACTGTTTACGCACGCAATGTCCACAGCATGAAAAACGATTTTCCACCAACGTATGCAGTTTCTGAGTATTTTGTACGTGCCAATTATTTCATCAAATTTGTCCATGCTGAGCATTCCGGTGTTGTACTCATGAACAAGGAGGGGCTTATTGATGGTATCCACAACCCACTGGCCTCCCCTTTTCTCTCTCCTTTTAGCAGCAACATGTTTATTTGTTGTGTGCATCATGCTCATCAGACACACAGAACGTCGATCCTTGCATTGCATGAAAAGGATGTTGCCTTCCCGAATCCAGCGAACGTCCCCACGCTGCGCCCTTAATTCCCACGTATCATCCTTCAATTTTTTTTGGGAAGCCCTGACGATCTTCGCGAGTGGTCCCACAGGCAAGCGTCTTGTGCTCAAGGAGATGTTCGAATAATTTTGCCGACGTATAAATGTTATCCATAAAAATTTTATATTCCTGATGGAGATACTTTGTGCAAAGCCGAGTCAGAACGTCTAACGCTAATCCATTGGGTCCTGGTACCTCACGTTTTCCAGAGTACACAAAAAAAATTAATTGTATAGCCGGTATTCGAATCCGCCAGCACCCACAGCTTATATCCAAATTTTGTCACTTTGTACTGAATGGACTGCCCGATTCCTGACCTGGCTTTTGATTTCACTAAGCTTTTATCCACCGCAATGTTGCGCTGTGGTTGAAACAAACTTCATGACTGCAGATTTATGTGTCGCAGAAGCCATGACACTCTCCAAGTCTTCCCACCAGATGCTGCAGCCGCAAGATTTTCCGGGTCCCCTACGCTTAGGAAAGCTAACAGCGCGAAGAATCGGTCCCGTTTCATAATATTTGGTGGGAGAAGGCCTGAAAATATTCCTGTCTTCCGCCAGTACATGTGGAGCCGTGGTACATCAACAACACCAATGTAGAGAATAAGTTCGATGAACCTCAGCATCTCAAGTGGCACTACTTCTTCCCAGGAGCCGTCTCGACGAGTGTAGGTTTGCCTGTCCAAAATATGCATCCAGGTGTACTTGTTTGTGTTTTCACGTAACGTCTGGAGCACTTCTGTCGTAAAAAACAAAAGGAAAAATCTAGCGCCCTTGAGAAGCGACGCACGACATTCCATAGCGCTGCTGCAAGATGGGCACCATGCTGTCTTGTGGGTGAGAACTTGATACCCCGTGCTGGATTTGGCAAAACATCCTTGCCGTACGTTGTCGAGATCCTAAGCAAAGAAAGGATACTGTTGTCGTCAAATATCAAGCGCGTTTTCTCTTTACATGCAGCACGAAGTCAAAAACGAAACTTACCTGGTACTACTTGTCAAAGTCTAAGGCGTCTGGTCTGGAGTGTCATCGTCGGAACTCGAGCGAAGGAACTCGAGACGGCTCGAGCGACATCGTCACTCGAGCCGTCTGCACTACTCAGTTTGAAAAAATCGTCGGTAGAAGCCGACGAAGTGCTTGCAACAGCAATCGGCAGCCGCAGAGCGCGGCAAGGAGGAGCGGCCATTCTCACGTAAAATGTAACCGCATTCTGTTCGGCGGGCGAAATGTAAACTAAGAGAAGTGAGAGTGGAAAGTTGGTTGCCCAAGCTTAGACTAGATGGCGTTACGTGTCTGTAAAACCAGAGTTTTCAATTTTAGTGGGAGATTTGAAATCATCGGAACTCCTTGTTCGATGGCTTATGGGTCCGTAGCGAAAGAGTTAAGCAAAGCCCACAAAATGAATGAAATATGACTATTTCGAAAGCACCAACTGTAGCCAACTGAACAAAAACATTCTGATACTACTATAGTTGCTTAGAAAGGAAGATGTTGCTAATATTGCCGACTTGTAAAAAAAGAAAGCGATAACAATTTGCTTGGCCTTGTTCAAGTACTTTTTCACATAATAGGAGTGCATTGCTGAAACGCTGGGCAGGAACTCTGTGCCACCACCATGTTCAAAGTAGCACTGCAACAGGATGACAGCATCTCTTGCGGCACTGTCAGCCACTGAAATGAGCTCAGGATCACACACCATCTCATCAACACTTGAGCACAGGTCCTCATCTTGAACTTAAGCTGTAGGTTTCTCAAGGCTGTCCTAAAGTCTACGACGAGACGTCGATTCCTGCTCGACGTGCACGAACATGTGCAATCACTGAATTGACTTGGCTAAGCTAGCTTTGGCATTTGTTTCATGGTTGCTAGACTGCCGCGGCTACTTTCGCCGTTCACGGAATTTGCCTGATTTAGTTTGAGCCGATGTAAGCGAAAAAAAATATTCAGATTACCCGAATCTTCTTATCATTAAATATATAGGAGACCAACCAAATGTGCCAAGATAGTTTCGTTTATGCTGCTTTTCCGTTTACCTGAGTTTCTTTTAATGGGAATACACTGTATTAGAAAACTATTCTATTTGATTCACACTCAGATTTGAATTTGCTTTGCACCCGAAATTTTGCTATTTGCACACCTCTAAAAACATTCCATTTATATTCAAAATCTTCCATATTCACGCAGCCATGGTTAATATACAACAGAGAAAAAGATAAACACACAGTAAGCCAGAGAGCAGAAAAAGTTTTCCTGGACTTACAATTTCGAAATCCGGCTTGGCAGGAAGGTCTATGACCTCAAGGTCAGCCAGGGCTTGGCCTTTCTCGACTTTCTCTATATGGTCTTGGACCTTTCGCTGTAAAAAAAAAAGTTACCAAAGCTGGTAAATGCAACAAGCAAGGAATCCGGGGCCATAAAGCACCAAGCATACCTGGAACTGCTCGTATTCCTTTTTCCACTCTTTCATGTACAGGTCAGCCAGCCTCTCCTTCCGTACCAGCTCGGCCAGGCTGTTGGGATCCAGAGAGCTGAAAAAGAACAGGCAACGAAGGGGGTGCTTGGACAACTTTTTATGTAAACAGTTACTTTCGGTAAACTGAAATCAATGAAACTGCTGTTAAAAGGAGACAAGTGCCGAAAACGCAAGTTTTTTCCAAAATAATAATTTATTGTTTTTATCCATTTTCTCAAGTTCTGTTTCTCTACTTTCACGACAAAAAAAAAACAAACAATTGTAATTGAAATCGCTTCTAAGAGCGTGAGGTGGCCAGTAAAAACTAAAGAGAGCGCATTGTTTAGGGTCCCCTGAAAATCATCCACGGGCTGCTTGCCATTGTATTTCGCACAAGCAGTTCACTAAAGCGAAATGCTCAAAATAACCACGACTGAAAAAAAAATTATCTTTTCTGCACAGATGAGCTTTTACGTACTTTAGTGAAATGCGTTCTTCTCAAGATTTATTTTTGGGCAACTTCGAGTTTGGACAAGTTTTTATTACTTCTTGTAGCCTAATAAAGATGAAACTTCACCCGCATGTTAACATGTGAAGGGTGCAAGTATCTGTTTTAAAACTTGATATCATCTTTACAATTCATCTTTACGTGCTGAAATGGGCGAAAGTCTCCAAAAATGGCGTAGTTCGCGTTGTCCCGTCGCGAAAACGATGCGTTGGCCGCCATTTGCAATCGTGCATGCATGCTGCGAAGGCCTTCCCCTTCACAATCCACTATTACCCAGTCTGGTGTATCTTCACGAAGTATAAACAGAAAAAGAAGAAAAACGACGCATACGCCACGCATTTTGAATATCGCGGCAGGCAGCGCGAAGCCGCCATTGGTCGGCGGTGCGCTCCGCCTCCTCCTATCTTTCCAGCATAAGAGCGAAGCCTCGGACATCGCAATCGAGTTGTTCGGCATTTCTCAGCAGTTTTGCGTAATGGCAAGCCCCAAGAAGCACAGTCTAGATAATCGAAGTTCAGAATTCGCCCCAAGTATCGAGGGAAACGGCGCCGGATGCTTTCCAAAGCGCCAGCGAATGCCGATGTCACCGCTGACCAACGCACAGACGTTCTGACTTCGCATAGGCCTAACACTGACACCGAACCTTGCGGCGACAGTGGTTGTGGAATAGTCACTGCTGTGGAATTAGTCAGTGCATCCCAAATGAAGAGCGGATTATTCGAGAGCGAACGTGGACCAGTAGGTGCTACTACTGCCAACACGCTGCTTCGCGAAATCGATGCACTGACTGCCCTTGTGGTGGGTGCGCAATGCCCAACCTGCCGCGAACGGAAACTTGGCGTCCAAGAGGTAGCTGGAAAGCGCAAAGGGCTTTCAGCATTTCTCAAACTGTGCTGTGAAAATACCGATTGCCCTGAATCTACACTTTCATTCACGCACGCGTGAAACGTACTACTACGACCAGGAACCAAGGAACGAGGGCTCGTTTCGACAACGGCAGCTCGCGTGATGGCTTTGCTGTAAACGTAAAGGCAAGGCAGTTTTGGTAGCACGCGCTATAGGCGCAGGCCATGACCAACTTTCACAACTCTGTGCGATTGACGGTCTTCCGAGCATTCAGTGCAAGCTGCTTTGAATTGTGCCCAAATTTGATGAGAAAAAAAAAAAGGTTTCCTAATAAATGCCAACTTTCCAAACTTTCAAACTTGTTTTTCTCATTTTCATTTTTTTTTTGAAAATTTCACATTTTTTTTTGAAAATTTCACATTATCCTTCCAAACTTTCAAACTTGTTTTTCTCATTTTCATTTTTTTTTTTGAAAATTTCACTTTTTTTTTTTGAAAATTTCACATTATCCGGGCATCTTTTTAGACACTTGTACTTATTGTATAGTAACGAAACTTGGCACACATGTTTTTCAACACATGGAGAAAGCAAATACTAACTTGAAATTGCAATGCCTACCATAATTAGTTGTGAAAATATTAGGTTATTGTTTAAAGGGAGATTGAAAATAATTAGTCATTCACTACAATTTTTTCCTTGGTTATAATATTTCTGTGACATATTTGGATGGATATTTGCACTTCACAATCTACGAAGAGTCAAATAAGAAGAGAGACAATGCTTTTACTGAAAGATAAGTACATAAAAGAGTACCTGCAAAACATGTAACTTTTTGCTATTGTGCATGGCACAACATAACTATAGCAGCTACACTCAAAATGATTGCATATTTAAAATCTCCATGAAAAACTATATTAATAACAAAATTTTCAAGTGTCTATGACTAGAAATAAAAAAAAAGGTTCTTCCAAGGAGCGTCTCCCCTTAATGGCACAGAACCACAAAAGTTGAGTGGCATAAAATGTTTGTCCAAAAGAAACTATACACAATGTCATGGTACACAACGAAAACTGTGCAACTTACTCTTAAGCAGTTACATATTTGAAATTGGCTAAAAAGCTTATATAAACAGCAAAAGTTTCATAAACCCAGGCTACAGTTTAACATAACTAATTCTTCAAATCACATCTCCCTTTGAATGAAATAACTAGCTCCAATACGATTGGTTTTGGGCTAGCATTCTGCACCCACGTTCACCTCTCAGTAAACTGAACTGCTGTTAAATTTAACATATTTCCCCTGTCCTCCCAGGCTCGGTTGAACGAGAGTGCATTGCATTTCCTAGAGTTAACGGCAGTGCAACCTCAGTGATACGATGACACCTCGAACGAATTTCTGGGAGATTAAATTTTTCGGCAACATCTGCCAAAGCCGCATTTTCAAATCTAATGGGGTATGGCTGTCGCGAACAAATTTTAACCTCATGACATTAGAAGCGAACGTAGCTGTGCACAGGTACGAACAGGTTTTGCCTGCATTGCCACTATGTCACAAGAAGCCATCGACGGCACGTCATATTCTTCGAGCTCATACTTCACATCCTGGGTGCCCTAGTATGCTGTGCACTTTCGTATTTTGATTACAAATGGCATCAGTGATGTGCCTTCTTTTTTTTCTTTTCAACACTTATAATGTGTGCTCCCATGCTGTTACACTTAAAATGTGTGCTCCGATGCGTGTTACACGTGCATGCTACGTCGATGCAAGCCACATCCTCGCATCTTATCGCCACTGCGCAGTGGAGCGATGCCACAGCAATGCCAGAGCCCACAGCCTAGCAGACACAAAAAGTGCGATTGAGCCATGGCCACAGAAGATGCGAATGCAATGCGGGCTTCTCTCGCATTCCACTCCCACCTCTTATCACGAGCGGTTGCAGCATGACCGGAATAAAAAGGTGCACGCCCTTAGCAGCTTGTACCAGTGGCAACACTGGAGCACCCAAGAAGTCCGTGGGCTTGACATGACAAGAAGTCATGTCAAGCCCCCAGGTCGGTGCACAACGCCTATGAAAGGTGGACAAGATACAAAGGAGGAAGTGTACTTTTTTCAAACCTCCCGCGAAGTGTCATTCAATGCCATGTCACGTGAAATACTGTTGCAATTGCAAATCATCTCTTCTTTCACCTAGGTATTTGTGCTCACTTATTTCAATGATGCTACGGCAGCAGACTGTTCGTTCAAAGCAACCATGGTGCCGCTTTGACAGAGAGGGATATGCTTGCATGCATCGACCCTAGAGTTTTCAATTGTGCTTTTGGCAACCAGCACTTTATTCCTTAGCAGGCATTGCATTCCACAGCTGTATCAAAGTAGCCAGTGTGCAGTATAGCACAGCAACTTTTGCGCACAGTTCTTTTGGACGCCTAAAGTGCCAACTACATCTGGGGTGACCAGCACTTCTTTTACCCTTAGCGATAACAGTTGTCATTGACGAAACACACTTGGATATCACTAACCCCTACATATGTACAGTACAGAAATATTCAAACTATGGCATTTAACATCCTTAGGTGTGTGTCATTGACAAACGACAATTCGTTATTATACTTGGCTTTCTGAAGCCAAGGATAGAACTTGCCATCTTACGCTCAGTGTTACAACACTGCCACAGCTGATCCGCCATGTGCTCAGAAGACACCATGCGCTCAGATGGCACAACCTCATGGCTAAAAATCAGACAGGAGTCATGTGACATCACACAGTTTATGGAGGATAAAATAAAGCTACGAAACGCAGGTTTTTTACATTTTTTAAATATTTTTGTTATAATTATCTGAAGATACATCACCGAGGATTGGAACCCGACTCACACACAACAAAATTGTGCTACAGCGCGGCTACAAGCGACTCGCGGCAGCTAGTAAAGCCACAACTAAGGATCTTACGCTTTCAGGCCTTCCATCTCTTTCAAGACTTTTTGCACGTGCTTCTTGGATTGTTCGAACCTCTCCAGGCCCCACTTGAGAGCAGTCTCGAGTATGCGTATCTGAATTGCAACAGAGCTGGGATTAGTACAGACAATTCAGAGCAACGTTATCGGTGCTCCAGTATCGACGCTGATGCAGTGTTCACAGTAATGGCGTCTGTATAGCGACGTATTAAATTTGCCTGCATTAAACAGCATTCCTGAAAAGACGAGACTGATAATGCAATCCTCAATATTGTACATTAGGACAGGGCTATCTAATTTGCTAGCTTTACTATGCAGGTACGTACTAAGCTTCTGTCTCAGATCAATCACACTCTGCACCAGTACCGTCTCAACTATTCCATCATATGACGCATAGAATACACCAACAATTATTATTATTATTTATTATTCAGAATACCCCTAAGGGCCCTTTCACAGGAGGGTATTACATAGGGGGTGGCTAGAACGTACAGGTACATGAAATGATTAATAGGACCAGAAAATACGCAAACTAAACACTATACAGCTACTAAATAGATTAGAGAAAATATATGGTCAATATTCCTACCGCATAGTCTTAAATAATCAGAATAAATAATATGAGGCATACAATAATTAAACTATAAAAATATTTTAAAATTGATCTAAACAAGGAAGGAAAAAGTCACACAAGAGTACAATAAAATGCAATTTAGCTTACTACAAGCACACACGCCATTAAAGCATAAAGGAATGACAACATTACCAATAGCATGTGTGAAATACTGAAATGGCAAACTGCATCCGCCATTGCACTCGCTACGCTTAGAAGAGAGGCAAACTGTTTTTGACTGTGGTGGCCAAATCACATTGTTGAGAGACTTGACGGCACTCTCGGTTCTGCCTTGCTGGCATCTTTCCAGAAGTTCTCTTGCAGAAAGGCGCTGCAGTAGGTCGTCCCCCCCCCCGAGGCTGCCACAGCATTATACTCGCACCAAGAGTTCACACCAGTAGGGCAGCGCTCATGGTGTGGCTCGTTATCAGTTGATGTGACGTGATGAAATGTAGCCATGATGGCTTTTTCCATGGTAGGCACATCATTGGGATCACTTTCTGTGGCCCATCTATATTAGTTAGCTTTTTAATTAACCCATGTGTGAAGCGGCCTTTTCCACTCATGCTGAACTCTCGGTCCTTCCTTTTGTTTTTGTCAACTTGGTTTCGTAAAGCCAATGCCATTCTTTTTTGACATGATTTACACATTCTTGCTTTCGCATGGGTATGAATCCATACACATTGTCATTGCTGAGGGCAGTATAGGTACAGCCGTCACCGCCACAAAGTACGCCGGTGTAACGTACCTGGTGTTTTTGGAGCGACTGCTCAAACATGGTCTTAGCAGCAACAGTTTCCATCTGCCGTGTATTTGCCTCTGTTCTTTAAGCACTGCAGTTAACGTTTCTCATACCACTCCCCGTACCTATTGTCTTGAGCCCCAAAAGCCACGACTGTCGTTGGAGAGAACACAGTGGTCCAAGACAAGGCTAGAGTACAACTACGATGTGGCTTGTGTGACTTGTCATCCATGTGCCATTGTAAATGACAATGTGTCCTGGGGCACATCCAAGATCCTTATATATTTGACAACCCTTTTCTGCACTTGCGGCCTCTATCGCTGTTGCAGCAGATGCACTGGCAGGGTGGCTATGCTTGCAGTGCAGCCTCCGGTACGACTTGTGATACCTAAGGGAAATCTTCACGTGGAAAAAAATATCTTTCAGTGCAGTTTTATTTTTGCCCACTGACTGCACAGCTCTCACTGCACGAACATTCACCTCAAACGGGTTGACGTGCTGAGGATGGGCATATTTTATCATGACCAAACTACCCTGCCCAATGATTTTAAAAATTGAAATAGGGCCTCTATGCAGATGCCTTTTTTTTTTTCGTTCAAAGGAAGTTGGAAGAACTTTGAGTAGTAGCAAAATTTGGCTTTTAGCAGGATGCGAGTCATCACCCTTAAAACATGTAACATTCTCAAAGTTAATCATACTTAAAGCAAATAAGCAGTCATAACAAGCTTTTAAGCTTAATAAAATGAAGTGATTTGGGGGTAATATTTTCATTTAAAGGGGCCGTGCAACACTTTTTCAAGTAGCATTGGAATGGATTCAATAAAGAAGCTTATTGCTTCATGAATTTACTGCCGCAAAAACTTGGATTCTGCCCAGTACGCGCGGAATCGCAAAGATTTCTCGCACGCTGCACGTGCATTCTCTTTTCTCATCTCAACGGAAGTGCTAGAAGCTAAGGAGGGAGGGATGGCACAAGGAAGGAAAATAGGTCACCCGTGAAAATAGGTCACGGGGTCATTTAGCAAGAGAAGAGAGCAATTTTGAGCCGACTGAAAATTTATCGTGAATCACGTGCCGCACATTACACTATAATATTTAATTAGCCCGTCCTCGGTAGCCACGTCCACCGATTGACTGGGGCTAGGCCCCCCTTTAAATTTAGAGGGGGCCTGGCGGCAAAGCGGATGTCTCCTTGATAGGTGCTTTCATGCTTCAGTACCCATACACAGCCGTGAAACCACCTTTACAGGCGGCACATTCGGACTAATATCCGTTCCTTGCGAATACTTCTAAATTTTCCATTTTTAAAAATTAGAATCAAAGCGAATTCGAATACCTTACTATTCGTTCGAATATTCGAAGCATTTGAATATTCGCACAAGCCTACTCTTATTATTCCACAGTGGTCACATAGCACACCAATTTTAGTTGCGAGTTCAAGACGAAGTCCAGTTTTAAAACTAACTGGGACCCTTCCACACTGGTGGCATCAAAATCCGGAGGGCAGCTTATTGATCGTCACTTTGTGTGATACAAGAAATGATGCCTCAGAAACAATATCATCCTAATTTTCAGCCATCCTTTAGAAGCTCAAAGTTCTTTTTTGTGGCCGGGGTAGCAGACAATGCATTTTAAGTGTTTCCTCGTGTTTCTTCTCTTCGCGTAATTTTTTTCATTGGTGAGAGTAGGAGTGAAAATCCACTGCTGAATACTCAACACACGAACACCTACTGGCTGCCGATGCCACGTTGCTGTTGCTCGCGAAAGCACGGTGATCACTGCTTGTGGATGCGTCTACACGACACACATATCTAAAACTTGGTATGTGGACTTGACAGCACCGCACCCAGACTCAACACCGCACACAGAGATGTCGACACTACACGTGTGCGTGCAGCAAGCGCTGATCGCATCATCAATGAAGCATGTGCCATCAGCACAGCCAGCGGTCGGGTCATAATTGGTGCATAGGGACGCGCTGTCACAGTCACACACGGGCGAGCAGTCTCCATCTCACACGTGCGTCGGATTTTCCTGGTCGGCGAGGTGCTTCGAGCTCATTCCATGCCAAACGTCCAAACCGTTTTGGCGACCACCTCAAATGTATTCTAAAAAAATTGTGGTGGTTTGCTGCATTGAAAATGGTAAATTGCTAGAATGTTTCAGGGAGAAAAAAATGTTTGGCTGCATGGGTGCCTTATGAACTTCCCAGATTGTCGTCTGGGAGTTGTTTGCGAAAAAAATTTTGATAATAAAGTAAAAGTGCTTGTGCAAGATGCTTTTAAGCTCAGTAATACTCACGCAATTTTTCTGCCACATACGCCTTGAAGAGTTTAGAGAAAATCTGTTATGTTTGAATTTTTTCATTGCATTACTGCACTTGGCACGAATATCTGAGCAATAAATACTTACTCCACAGAAGGTGTACATTGCAGAAAAAATATTTTTAGACCTCTCAAGTAGCTAAACACTACAAAAAAAACCAATTTCACAGAATAGCCACTTTTGTCAATATTGAGATATTTTTTACACAATGTGGTAGTCCAATTAAAACATCAGCTTTATACCTTAACTAGAAAGCAAATCAACAGTTCTTTTTATGAGGCAAGTTTATCATTACCATTTTAAGTAAGAAAATAATTTTAGTAGTTTCCTGTTGATGGCAATGAGAAACTTCAATAGAAGCTGCCGTACAACTAAATGGGAAAACAGATGTCGATGGAAAACAAAAATTATTCTCTCCTATCTATTTTGAATGGAATTTATGAAGACTCAAGAAGAATTGCATGGACCTTCAGCAGTTACTGCATGACCATACCTCCGCACGCTTTGCCCTTTCCAAAGCACTGTCAGACGCCTCTTCGAGCGCCAGGCAAGTTTCTTCCAGTTCGTCGCATTTAGACCTAGAAAAGTCATTGACGGTCAGCAACAGTACAGGGCAACAGAACAAGAAACCACTTTCACTAGCCTTCAAAGGAAATTAATTTGAAAGAAAGAAAAGTGCAGCAGCAACTTACTTCATTTTTGTAAACTCCGTGATGGCCTTCTCCAGAGTCTCTTTTATGTTGTCCTCGTTCCTAGGAACAAGTAATTAACCATTTGCTCACACACCATTTACTTCCATTTGTGCACTGAAAATCAGTGGCTTCAGCGCTGTACTCTAAGCTGCATTTTATCCAACTGAAATTTTTACGCTTGTGCGAATATTTGAACAAATATTATAATATTCGAATTCGCTTCGATTCAAACTTCAATAATTGAAAATTTAGAAGTATTCGGAACGAATGAATAGGTGTATAAGTCCGCGTGTAACCGCCTTTAAGGTGGTTTCACTGCTGTAAAGGGGTGCCAAGCCGTGAAAGCATTAATCTAAATGTCCACATGTAACTTTTGTAAAGGAGATTTTTCTGCAGTGAGCGGTTGTCAGGCCGTGAAAACACCTATCTAGGGCAAATTTGCACTCCCACGAAGTGCCACTTTAAGGTTAAATGAACATAATACTCCCACATCGTTTCATCATTTGGTAAGTTTAAAAGATTGCTATACTGGGTTATACGCTCCAAGAGTAGTAAACCTTAAAATTAACATATTCAACAGGTATCACATGCATTCTACTGAAAGTCCCATCCTGCTACTTTTCAAAGTTGTTTCTACATCCTTTGAACAAAAAGGCATTTGGGCAGGCTCTGTTTCACTTTTATAGAATATTGTGCAGGATAGTTAGGTAATCATGTCTTTATAATGTGACATATACAATGGCACAACAGCTGAAATCGAATGTGGAGCAATTTTTGGAACAGCAAAATGTTACTTTTGGAGCACTAAAATCCAAATTTGGATAAGGTTACGGGAAAAGAGAATAGCATTTTCATGAATAGCATTTCATTATCATGAAGTACCAAATTTGGAGCAGCATAAAAAGAATGCTTACATTTAGAAAAAAAATAAGTATAAAATATTCAGCTAAATTGTGCAGTGTGAATATGAGCACTGTTATTTGTATCGAAGTAGCATTTCGAACCACCCCACTGAACAAACAATAAAGTATATATTAGCTTGCCGCCACTATGAAATCATTTGACAGACTCTGAATTTATATATGGATCTGTCAAGCTTGTAACCTTGAATTTCGAGAGATTTGTAAAACTGAGGAGTAGGGGTGGCAAGAAAAAACTGGCCAACAATTTAGTTTTCTTTTTAGGGAAGCAGAAATGTCATACTCAGCTCTAAATTATTGCCAGTAACTTATCCAGACGTCGGTGATTATACTGGTACTCCGAATTATGTGGCGTACAAACGCACGAATAACTGAATGAAATGTGCAGAGTTCCGTGACTAGCGCTAACAAGCCTTTCTAAATTTCAATACACTTTTCCACAAGGCACCGGTGTACTGCGGTGAAGGTCACTTAAGCAGCATTCTCTACGCGGGTTGAAACTAAGCGGGTTGAAACTAAAACCAAGAAATTTTCTAACCGCTACACTCATCTCGCTACCCCCCCCCCCCCCTTTTTTTTTTCGCCGTGGGGTTAGGTGCCGCTTCGGATCGCTTGCAAGGCGTTACACAAATAGGGGCGTGAAATGAGGCTTGATTGTAACCTGCTTGTGCGCCACCTGATGAGAGAGCTCGGTACGAGGCAAAGGAAACTTTTACAATCAAGTGTAATGACAAACCTGCTAGTCTTGAGAAGCTTGTTCTCCTCCATGAGTTTCACGCGTTCCTGTTGCAACTTCTTGATCTCGGCATCCGATTCCAGCTTGTTCTTCTTTGCAGCCTGTCTTGAGGCCTAGAGTAAAACGAGGCAAAACGCAGTCAAGACGAGTGCTATCGCTCATACAGTTCCATAACTATTTCGTTACCGGGTGAAAAAAGTTGTTTTTCATATGTTTCGGGAAGATCACTCTTGCCAGTTTCAAAAGTGCTCCAACGCGCATCACAGCATACTAAACTTTGCATAATGAAATGCTCTTTCCAAAAAAATAGATGTTGTAGAGGAACAAAAATATTTTAGAATGAATAAAAATGTAAAACTGTGGAACTTTTGGTTGTTAGATGGTAAACAGTGCAACAAACACACTATATATGCAAAAATATTCAAACCAAAGAAAATTCAGAATATACATTTTGTATATTCTGAATTTTGTATATTCTTTTGGTGAGACACAAGTGTGCAGGTACACTTTTCTCAGTAAATTTCTGTTGCGATAAGACTCTCCAGGTGTTCCAATATAGATGGATACCCGTGATGCGAAAAATTTCTCTGTAAACCAAGTGTCCAATGAACTTCTCTACTTAATCTAGCGTCAGCTCTTTCCATGAACTACCTCATTCCGCATAGGTTGGCGTTCCCATATATGCATCAAAACATTTTTTTTTTCGTTTTTGCACATATCATATAAAAAAAAATATTGCGTGCAGTTCTAAAAGGATTTGCACTGCTCTGTAGTCAGGGCCAAGATGTGCTCCGAGAGCCTTCTTGTAGTTAGGAGAAGCTCTGCAGCCAGCACCAGCCCACCGCGCTCTAGCGAAGTGTGGACGACCCACGTAACAAGAGTAGCTATAAGATTGCGCACAAAGGTCAGAAGCTATATGCAGTTGTGACGTAGGAGACAACTTGAGGATGTATACAACAGAAACCCATGAACGGCTGCAGATGTCTCAGGCTGACGCAAAACATCATTGCCAGTAAAACTTGAAGCTGAGGTGCTATCATCTTAAAACCTTAAGCTCGTCCTCACATCAATTCTGGTGGGGTAAGAAGAGAGTTTTAAAGAGAGCACGAGTTTTGCAGCGCTGGTGTGGAGCCATGCGCGCGTGACGACAGCGTCGTAGGAGCGACTAGTGCCACTAGACGCAACCCTATGTTTGATATAACAATGCAGGCAAAACTAAAGTTGCTGGTATCTGTCATAGAGGGCCACCTTGACACTTAAAACACGCGGCGGACCTTCTCAAATATTTTTTGTGGAACAAATTTTCCCAGACTCCTAGGAACAGCTCTCTATTGAATATCTGGGATATTATTATGGCAATAATTACTGCTTAAAATTGTCAAATTGTGAAGCTGACACTTTTAATTTGATATTCGGCTTGCAAAGGTTTCTTTTTCTTTTCCTTACAGGACTTCGATGTTAGTGTACCAATAACACGAGGGGCACACACTTTTGTCAAGTTCGCCAGCCTAGTGCACTTTTCTAACAATACACGTGCATTGGTTCGCACAAAGGTCTGTCAAAAATCACTATGTTGCCGAAACAGGCAAATTCAAATTGATCCTGAATGTTTAGTGCCTGAACTAACTACTAGAAAGTGCTGGGTGCACGAGAAACAAACTCAACGTGCCAAAATCAATGATCCAAAAGCGTCGATCTCCTGTGATCGATTTGAATAGGCGTGGTAACGAAAGAGTTAACAGCAGGAGCAGGTGCTGAAAAACATTTTCATGATAACAACAGGATCCTGATCCACAGGCAGCAATATCGGACTTGTATATGGATGTATGAGGTGAATATCATTGAACTTCATACAGCAAGGGGGTAAGAGTTCTCACAGCAGATTGCTGGTCTAAGGGCCACTTCTTCATCCAGCTCTCAAGACTTTTCAGCCATAGAACTGCAACAGGTGCAACTAATTGCTGGACCCATTTAAAACTCTTTTTTTCTCCATAAGTTCCAGCCAGGTGTCCAGTAGATGCCACAGTCAATGAGCATTGCAAAGCTATTCCATCCGATAACACCTTCCTAGAGCTATTAACAAATATTACATTTAGAACACACTATATTGTAGCGATGCAGAGGCAGACAGGCTAAAAAACAAGCCTCTTTAATAGGGCGAACTTGTGCCCACGAGTCTAATGACTGAGTGGCACAGATTCAACTATCTTCCTCTTTCCTCGTAGGCCAAGCGCACGAACGCGTGGCGCATGCCAGCCGGGTCTTGCTGGTGCTCTTGCCACGATGATTGCGGCGGGCTACTTGAATGTGGCCAACGTGTTGCGGCAATATATATATAAAAAAAAACAAAAAAAACTAGCCACCCTGTTTACGAGGCGTCTACCGACTGCAAGAGTACCAGAGTCTTGGAAGAATGCTAACATCATCTTAATACATAAGAAAGGAGATGACAAAGACTTGAAGGATTACAGGCCAATCAGCTTGCTTTCTGTAGTATACAAACTGTAGTATACAAAAGGTAACTGCTAACAGAGTAAAGAAAACATTAGAATTCAATCAACCAAAGGAACAAGCAGGATTTTGAACAGGCTACTCAACAATCGACCACATTCATACTATCAATCAGGTAATAGAGAAACGCTCAGAATATAACCAACCACTATACATAGCCTTCGTAGATTGCGAAAAGGCGTTTGATTCAGTAGAAATATCAGCCGTCATGCAGACACTGCGAAATCAGGGCGTCGATGAAGTATATATAAACATCCTGGAAGAAATCTACAGGGGATCAACTGCTACCATAGTGCTTCATAAAGAAAGCAGCAGAATACCAATCAAGAAGGGCGTAAGGCAGGTGAATACAATCTCCCCAATGCTATTTACTGCGTGCTTACAGGAGGTTTTCAGAAGCCTAGAATGGGAAGAGTTAGGAATAAGAGTTGATGGAGGGTACTTTAGTAACCTGCGTTTCGCCGATGACATTGCATTGCTGAGTAACTCAGGGTACGAATTGCAACTCATGATTATGGAGTTAGACAAGGTGAGCAGAAAGGTGGGTCTTAAAAATTAATCTGCAGAAAACAAAAGTAATGTACAACAACCTCGGAAAAGAGCAGCGCTTCGAGATAGGTAATAGTGCACTTCAAGTTGTAAAAGACTATGTCTACCTAGGGAAGATAGTAAGCGCGGAGCCAAACCACGAGATTGAAGTAACTAGAAGATTAAGAATGGGGTGGAGCACATTTGGCAAGCACTCTCAAATTATGACAGGTAGATTGCCACTATCCCTCAAGAGGAAGGTATATAACAGCTGTATCTTGCCGGTACTTAGCTACGAAGCAGAAACCTGGAGACTTACAAAGAGGGTTCAGCTTGAAGTTTGTGAGTCGCTAAAGATCGCAGTTGCGGTGTCACTACACACAGCAGCCGAAAGTAGTTGCGAGTTCCACCTCTTCATCAACAGTGCGCGCTTAGTTTAATCTGCCTTTTTAACCGATGCCACAGTGCATGCTCTAGCAGGAAAGTTGCAAAATACCTACTGGTTTTTGAGGCTTATGTTTTAGGAAACAGCAGAAGGCAGCACAGGAAAAAGAAAAGGCAGATTGGAGCTTTACAATCGATACGTGAAAACTAACGCTCTCCCCAGGAGAGCCTTTGTGCAGCGGTCTTTGGGCTTTCAAGTTGGAAATGTTGTCACTGAATGCCTTTTTTCTTGAGTTGCAGCCAACTAGTATTTCTAAGCATCGATCACCTCTTCAGCTCGTAGTGGTCCACCTTTTCTTTCGTCCTCGCTGCAGCAGTTGTTGACAAAGCCGTGGACCCACGCACTTACGTGCTATTGGCATCACCGCTACTTTTCGCTCTTCTAAGTGGCATTCTTCTGCCCCTAAGCTAGGCTCATGGGTCGTAGGCCAATGCGCCTCATCCTTGTGAAGCCAATGGGGTCTTGTCCCCCACAATTAGCTTTCCAAGAAGGCTGATGGGAGAATACCGCCAGTGATTAAGTCAGCGGGGTTGTCCGCTCCGGGGCAGTGTCTCCAACCCTTGAGATCAGAAAGCGCTTGCAGCTCTGATACTCGGTTTGCGACAAGGGGCTTCCACCATGCAGCGTTTTCTTTAATCCAGTGCATGGCTACTGTGGAATCAGTCCAAAGTATAGTAGCAGCATTCTGGAGGTCCAAGGTCTTGGCGACGTAGTGGCACAGTAGAGCGCCTATGAGTTCCCCCATCAGCTCTAGTTGGGGTAACGAGAGGCACTTTAAAGGAGCTACTCCTGATTTGGCCATAAATAGGCTTATAGTGATTGTTCCCTGGGGAGACTTGCTTGCAACGTATGCGACAGCACTGTATGCCTTTGGGCTGGCATCGCAGAAAATGTGCAACACTTTCTCTGTCTCTTCATCTCGGAAATTCCTTGCGATGGTCCTCGGAATGGAAAGTGCCTTGATGCAGCGAAGATCTCCACACCAGCTTTTCCACTCTGCCTGCATTATTTCTGGCAAGGGATCGTCCCAACCAGTGCCCAACTCCCACAATCTGTGAAACATCATCTTTACGTAGAGCGTTGTGGGAGCAATGAACTCAAAGGGGTCGAAAATTCTGGCTGAGATTTGCAACAGGAATCTCTTGCTGTCAGCTCTTGTGGTGAAGATTTCTAGAAGTGAGGTGAGATTGTACTCTAAGTTATCTGTATGAGCATTCCAACTCACTCCTAACACCTTAGCGGCTGTAGGAAGTCCATCCGTCGCTTTCCGTTTTGCCAAGGTTACATCTTCTATGAAGTTGACTAAAGCGTGGTTGTTAGACATCCTTGTGTGGAGTCGCATTCCGGCTTGTGACAATATGTCGCTTGATTGCTGGCGTAACTCTTTAGCCTGCTCAAGGCTGTCGACACCAATGACAAAGTCGTCAGCACAGAGGTGGTTGCGCAAGATGCAGTCTCACCATACTGCTCCGTGGGTCTTTCAATATGGTGTTGTAAAGTTGCGACTAATAGGAAAGGACTTGATGTGACACCAAATGGCACGAGTGTCATCTGTTAAGTCGTCACCACTGGAAATTCTTCACCTTTCTTCGGCTTAGTTTCATATAAAAAAAAAACGCACAGCATTCC